AAAATGACTAAACCACATGTCAGATGCTTCAAAGTCTTTTGTATCAATTTCTGAAAAATCTTCTCTTAATATTTTTTCATTTGTTCTTTTATAACTGTTGATGTTACTCCAATTGCATTTTGTCAAAGTTCAATAATCCATTTCTTTAATTTTTCTTCAGCTTCAGGATATAAAGGTTTTTTTCCTGTTCCAATACATTTGTTTTTTTCCTGTGCTGATGCAAGTTCTTCTTCTTTTTGACACCAACGTGAAATTTGACTATGATCGATATTATATTTTCACGCCGCAGCTCTTATACCATTATTTTTTGTATACTGAATTACTGTTAATTTTTCTTGAGCAGTATATGAGCAATGTTGTCTTTTTGGCATAGTGAAAAGCAAGGATATGATTTTAAAATCTAAACAATTTTTATTGGCAGATCTTGGATCATGTGAATGTTAATTAAAAATTAAGAATATAAAAATTCTACTGAGAATAAGTACCAGGATACAAAACAGCTTGGTGTCTACATATATAAAAAGTGGTGCTTATTCACAGTAGGATACAGTAAACAACAAGCAATCTTGTTTGAGGGAAACTTGTTTCATAAAGTAAAAACGTGTGGTATGTTAAATACCATTTTGGAACTATTTTTTAAAGTTTATGATGGTCTGTATTTGACATTTTGACCAGTATAATTGTGTCATATTATTAATTTTATTTTGAAATAAAAAATATATTTATGATTTTTGGATGGATTACGAAAATACCATTTTTTTTGAGTTATAATTTATTAGAATTTATTTATCAAAACAAAATAATTAATAAATTAAATAAAATACTTGTTTTATAATTTGTGTTTTTATTTAATTTAGATAATTATTCATGAGTTCTATTGATTCTTCATCTATATTCACCAATTTCCTTATTGAGAATATTATTCAACCTTTGATACTTAATTAACATTTGTTCATCGACTTTAATTGCAGATAGATCAAATGATATAATGTTTAATGATTCCCATGATGTCGACTGACTTAAAGCAACATAAGCTTGACCAGCAGCAAACATAGATTCATCAATTGAGACTGTAAAATAAGGTAATGTTAATCCTTGTATTTTGTGTACAGTTAGAGCAAATGCATTTTGTAGTGAAAATTGTTTTCGTTGTGCATGGGAACCATGTATGTTGAAGTAAACTGTTT